TATTTTTGGTGTGTATGTAGAATATGCAGGTGCTTTATAACAAAACATGCAGAGCCTATGTAGGTTAATGACTTAAGGCAGCATAAAGGTGGGACTGCCCTAGATTAAAAGATATTAAAGAGCTATAACCATAAAGCACAATTTGTGAATTTTGAATGGATTTATAATTGATTAAAGTAGCTATTAAGGGCATCTAGGGGTTATTTAGAAAACAATTTGAATATGACTCTGATACATAGTTGTCAAATTGTTTACTTTGGCTCTATGTCAATTTGGCTAATAACAGCAGTGAGTTCTTCACTAAAGCTCGTCATCTCTTTAGAGAAACACCAGACACTATGTTTGTAGGACAGAGAGAAATGAAGTGGAAACTGAGCTGAAAGCTTCCTTTCTACTGGTGAATTTTTATGGTGACAGAAGATGCTGTTCAGGAAATAAAAGACACCAATGGGCACACCCAGCTGTAAACCCTCCAAACTACAGGGTCAACCTACCAGGCTAGGTAAGCCCACTGGTATGATAGTGGCATGACTTTTATGCGGAGAACTCATCATTTGTGGACTGGACTGAAAGTCTGTCCCTAGGAGTGGATACATACCTGATACATAAACTCAGACTATTCCATTTTTTATTTGTCATTTTTTTCAAATGTTACATACAGTGTGAACATTTTGGTCCTTCCCTTGGGCCTTGAATTTGTCATTGTTTGCAATAGTTTTCCTTCATCCATTGCATCATCCACCATGCTTTAGCATACACATCAAATAGCTTTGTTTCTCCACTTAAGATATAGCAGTTGCTCTTCAGATGGTCAGCCTCTAGGCCTGATGTTTCCAGATTTTTAGTTTTTATCCAAAGAACTGAAGTGTTTACACAGATTTGCAAAATAATCAAACTTTTATTGGGAGCAAACGTATTGTTCAAGATATAGAAGGATATATTGTCACGATTGACAGCAGGCTGTGGGAGTGAGAGTACTCAAGAGCCCTGATTATTATTCAGAGTAGGAGTTGGTTACTTAGGGATGTTTGGGGGGGTGTTTTTCTATTTTGACTGATAGATAAGGTCATTCATTCCATTTTCCTACTGCACATGTCTCTCCACAAAATATGTTCAATTTTAATCATATGCATGGTGAATACTGCAATAATGCAAACATGTGAATAATATGGTGTCTCAGTTAGGGTTTTATTGCTGTAAAGAGACACCATGACCATGACAACTCTTATAAAAGAAAACATTTAATTGGAGCTGCCTTACAGTTCAAAGGTTTAGTGCATTTTCTTCATGGTGGGAAGCATGGTGGAATGCAGGAAGACATGGTGCTAGAGAGCTAGTTGATAGTTCCATTCATCTGGATCTACAGTCAGCAGGAGGAGGCAGTAAGCCACTAAGACTGGCTTGAGCTTCTGAAACCTCAAAGCCCATCCCCAGAGACATACTTCCTCCAACAAGCCACACCCACCTCAACAAGCCACACCCACTCCAACAAGGCCACACCTCCTAATAGTGACACTCCCGATGGGTCTATGGGGGCCATTTTTATTCAAACCACCACAGATCACAAATAAGAGATACTCTCTAAAAGACTACTACAGAACACAGTTTTGTCTTACTGAATTTATATACCGAACCAGTTGAGGCTAGATCAGCTGTTTCATTCTTCATACCAGGGTACATTAGAAATACATTCAAATAAAAAAATGTCTGCATCTGATTCTTAGAGGGGGATGGAGAAACTTATACCATTGTTCAAAAATTGGAGTAGTTCAATGTACCTGTGAAGAGGGGTCTATGTTTCTTGTACTTTCAGGTGAAGGAATTAGACACATTATAACAGTAGGTGGGTATGCACAACCCAAACCCAAATTCAAGCCCCAAGCTAAACCATCTTTTATACAGATCTGCTTTGTTTTCATACAAGTAACACCAAGACCACACAGAATGTCTCATGTGGCAATTACTCAACAATGTGAATAAGCAAATAGTGATACATTGAAAATCCTGTTAACATTGTTCAGCCTGCTTAGTATTAGTAGAAATTAACCTAAAGCTCTCTACTTATGAAACATGATTTAATGTAATCTGTCTACTCTATAATTATACAAAATTATTTACAAATATAAAATGTATTCAGTGTATGATGCCTCTGTAGGAGTGATGTAAATTTAATAATACATATTTGATTCTGATCATTAACAATTCTGATTGCATAAAACAGGTAGAAAGAAAGTGTGGTAAGACAATCACAAGAGAAGGGTAAATATACACTATGCCTTGGGACAAGAATTTACTGCAACAATATCAGTGACAGAAGATAAATCCATACCCATCACTACTAAGTCTATAGTCACAGCCCTATGTTCTTAAATCAAAGGAACCACAATACAACCAAATCTGTAGACAAGTGATAAGCCTGGTTTCCATACTGGTAGCTCCAGCAGCACATTGTACAAGACTTTAGGTATTTAGCTAAAGGAGAAACAGTCAGTTTTAGCAACAAGGAATAAGTTTTTAAAATATAATCTTGTGGTTGTGGCAAGTCACAGGTTTAATAATCCCATTGTTCATATTTCACTAGATAAGAAGACTGCGTATATTAAAACACATTATGTTCTTGGAATGTTTAAACCCTCCCCCCAAACTGATAAACCATAAATGAAAATATTGGCCTTATTCTCCCTCACTTGTCCTTTGTACCCCTGATGCATGGCATCACATGAAAGGCAAATGCCACCTTCTTTCCATGATTATTTTGATAATAATACCCTTCTCTTATATGCAGATTTAAAACCCAGCCCAAGCAGCGGTAATGCCATCTGTATGAATCTTAAGAACAAATGATATGTTTCCTGTATAAACTGCAACCTGTGGCAATTGCATATTATTTTGTGGCCTTTGTAGTACTGTTTTCTTAAAGGTAATGTCATTTATATACATATTCCATGCTTTTAAAAAGTTACTTTATTATTCTTCCTGCAGTAGAGTATACACACATTTTTACATGACCAAGGGAAATATTGACAATCTTATTTGACTCCAAAGACATAGAAACACAGAGCAGATATTTAGAGTCTAAATTTGACAGAGTGCATGATGGTTAAATTTTTGGAGTAGGTATCAGCTTTGCTTATGTTCTGTACATGTCACATACAGGCTTAATTTTTCAGAGGCATATTGAGCTTGGATGTTATCTGCATTAGTTTGTAAGTGGTTGCTCCAAATATTATTAGCTTATAGGTTAATTTTCATTCACAAAGTAATTTTAATCATAGATTTTGAGAAACATGAAATTAGGAGAAAAGAAAGAATGTAATCTACATATCTTCATAATTTAGCTGACAATTATGAAATGAGAAAACTTGGTCAGATTTAGCTTTTCTATGTGGTAATCAGGTATGTGTCCCTGGAGAATTCCATAGACAGGAAGGACAAAGAACCATCCAGCATGTAGCCACTCAGCTAAGGGGCTATTTTCAGATGTTTTGACCTTGAACTGAAGAGGGTCACTCAGTAGCAGGAGGATGACCCAACAGCACAGTCTGTGTGACCGCACAGTTCCTGGAAGGTAGAAAAATCCCTTAGCATAAGGCATCAAGAGCTAAGTAGGAAAGTTTCACTAAGTACCAGCCTTAACCTGATATGATGTGGACAGAAGTAGATCCTTTGCATGCCCATGGAATGGGGAAGAAACTGCCACAGTGAATTTATTAAAAGAAGGAACATTAAAAATGTAGCAAAAGAATTTCCGCATATTTCACACACAATATATAAATCTTACAAATGTTTATAAATAAACTTAAATGTTACTATGATTATTTGAAAATGAATGGAAATTTTTCACATTGAGTCAAAATAGTAACAAAATAGAATAGTATTATTGTAGCAAAGTAAATTGTCTTCAACATATAAGATAGTACAGATGTTGTTGGTTGATTGAGATTGAGATCTGCCACATCTGAGTTTATTGTTCCAGATATTCTTCTCATAAATCATAATAGAACTGTCAGAATAAAGAACACTGGAACAAAGACTGAATCAAAGGAAGAGACGTCAGGCTGAGCTACTGAAAAAAAAATCCATACTACAGCCCACAGGAACAGAATCTTCCTGTGAGCACTGAGTGAGTGATTGTAGAATGGATGGGTACAGACATGTCTTCCCTATAGCCAATGTCTGAGTAACCCTTTGAGATCTTCCAAGTGGTTGGAAAACTTGCAGGCTACCGACTATGGACCTAACCACTGATGCGTAGTTCCAAGAGTTTCAGTACTTCAAATCTTCTCATATGATTTAATATAAAGCTTAGCAAGATAAAACACAATAGACATTAGGTCATATTTAATATCATTTTACTGGTTGAGACATTGGCTCATCTTTTGGACTGCAAATCTTGTGACATAGACATATGTGCCCTCCGTCTCAATTTGTGTATCTTCTGAGCATTGCAAACGGGAGCATTGCTCTTGGATGGACTCCTGGATTTCCAGCACCCTTCTAGCCCAGAAGCACTGAAGATAGGAGCTGTATGTTTTCTTCTTGCCACCACAGCTAACTTTGTTTCTATTTCTCTTTCTTAGTCCTTCAGTTTCTGTGTCCCTCATTCTTTCTCTGTTTCATTCTCTTTCCATCTTATGGACAGAAATACCACTGGTTTCACATATAGGCTATACATAAAAGCTTTTCAAAACATCACATTTAATATGGAAATGTTTATTGAAATCTGAGCTAGAATTTTCACATTCATGCATTTTTAGCAAGAATTATTGAAGAAATAATGGTAGAAATGTAGTTTCAAAGAAACAGTATCTTTAAAAATATAAATTTGAATAAATTTAAAGACATTAATTAATTAAGATTTCACCTGTCAAAGCTGAATTTTGGTTTTCAGATAATCTTGCAGGAGTTTTTTCCCTCAGTAAACATGTAACAGTAATGGAAATGTCATACTTGGTACTAGTTGGATGAGTCTAAACGGGGTGAGTGGATCCCAGAGTTACTCAGTAGAATCTGTAGGACCAGTATCTCCCACAGCAATATGGCCTGCAGTGGTCATATCCAAATCTGCCATAGCCATAGCCATAACCCAGGCCTCCATAGCCACAACCACAGCCACAGCCATAGCCATAGCCAAGACTACCATAGTGGTTTCCGTAGTAGCACATTGTGTTAAGAGTAGAAGGTATAGTTGAAAAGTAGAAGATACCCTCTGGTTTAAATGACGTTTCTGCAAGCAAAGGACCTTTTATATACAAGCAGGGAGGGTAGGGCAAACCACAGGAATCCCTGCCTGCATAATTTAAAATAACTTCCACAAGAAAAATGTATCCAGTATTTTGTTTACTTAGTAAAGGGGAGTTTCCTGTGAGATTGCTTGGCTGGTGTATAAAGCACCCAAGTTAAATTAGGTGGTTCCTCTAGACATTTTTCAGACATTTTGAATACCATGAACTAAGTTTTATCATATTTTTTCCACTCCCAAGAAACAATGCATATTCAAGCCCAAAGACTACACTTTCTGAGAGGAAGTGAAAATAAAGTATTTCATGAAATTTTGCCAATAAGAGTCACAAATCAGAGCCTGAAGATGTAAGAAGCATTAGAAGTTCCCTTGAATTTTGTCTTCACTCATAATAATGTGACTCCGTTCATTATCTTTATATCACTGTGACAAAACACCCATGAATGTAATGAGAGAAACATCATAAAGTCAAAGAGGGAAATTAATTTTGGTCTATATATTTTCAGAGGTCTCTGTCTAGGATCAGTTAGCTCTGTAGCTGTGGGCTGGCACAAAGGCAGAACACTGTCAGTAGGGTGTTGTGGAGCATTATTGCTTCCTTCATGCCCACCAGCGTAAGAATGAGGAGAATGAGAGGAAGCAGCTTGGGAAAAAGATGGTGTCACAGGCGCACTACAAGAAATTCAATTCTTACAAACATGACCTACATCCTTATATCAAATAACAAAATAATGGATTAATTTATCAATGAGGTCGGAGGCCTCAAGATCCTATCACTTCCCAAACTCCCATAAGCTTGCAACCAAGGTGATAGCACATAATGTATTTCCAAACCATAGTATTCTATCTGTGAGCTCCAAAGCCTCATGATCACTCTGTAATTCAAAATACATTTAGTCACACCAAAATTCACCAAGTTCCTAACAGTTATAGCACTGTTGGACATTTCAGTCTCCTTTGCTTTTCTTCTAACTGTCGCTTGAAGTCTCATGTATTAAAGAATTGGTTTCTAGCTGTTTGGGGTATGTTCAGCCTTTTGATATTGTGACATGATGTTGTCATCTACAAAGTTCACACATGACAATGATGCAATCAACATTATGAAAAAGTTGCTGAAATTTTATTCAAAAAATTTAAGGGAATATGTGATAATGGTTGGGCTGTGTGATTGTTTGAATAAAACTGGCCCCCATAGGCCCACTATCAGCAGGTATGGCCATGTTGGAGTAGGTGTGGCTTTGTTGGAAGAGGTGTGTGACTAGGGGGTAGGCTTTGATGTCTCAGAAACTCAAGCCAGGTCCAGCAGGCTCTTCCTGCTGCCTGCTGATCTGAATGTAGAATATTCAGCTACCTCTCCAGTACCTCTCAGCTACCTCTACCTCTGCCTGAATGCTGCCATGTTTCCCACCATGACCTCTGAACTGTAAGCCAGCCTCAGTTAAATGTTATCCTTTATAAGAGTTGCTGTGATCATGGTGTCTCTTCACAGCAATAGAAACCCTAATAATAAAGGCTGCATTCATAACTATCCTTGGTTGTATTCAGCTAATGGGCTTAGAGGGCTGGGACTTCATCAGTTGGTTATTCTGGTGTCAATTTTTAGTTAGACTTCTAGGAACTACTCCTTGTTTAGAGGAAGTAGGTTGATGGATGTGCTCTCTCTGTTTCCTAGCTTCCATGGGACAAGCAGCTTTGTCCCCAGCACACCATCTGTTTTGATGTTCCCCTTCACCACAGGACCATAGCAATTGTGCCAACAACCCATGGGTGGAAAATCCTGTCACAACAAACCAAAATAATTTTTCCTTAGTATAGTTGTTTTTCTAGGGCATTTTGTCACATATGTAGATGGCCATCAAAGAATTTCAAGGCTTTGTGCTACTTCAAAATTCATAAAGCTGGTCACAATACATTAGTGTGACAAGTATAGACCAAACATTTTCTACAGACAAAAGGAAAAAAGAGAGCTCTGGTTAAAGCAACCCTACAACTGTCATGGGAACTAGTAAATCCTGTAATTTCATGTCTAGCATCTAGGTTACAGAGCGGCATTATGTGTACCCCAAAGGATTTGTTGAGCCCACTGACGGCCTTGTTGGCTGAAACACACATGGTCTCCCTCCACTTGAATCATTACTTCCTGTGGAGTTCTTTGGTAGACATTCCCCCTTCCTGGAATTTCTAACTTCCTAGAATTTCTCCTGTAGCTTCAATCTGCCTGTAATTACTTCATACATCCTCTTCCTAAGGGATTCTGAAACTGTCATACATTGCCTGGAATCCCAGGTTTCCCTTTGAAGTCTGAGTAAAAGCTTCTGTGACACTATTAGCTTTGTGCACTGTATCTCTGCTACACCAGCACTATATAGAGAAGCAGTCATATGCTACTGAACTACAGATCTAGTGGCCCCTGTGTCCCTGGAAGTCTAAATGTGGGTGAACACTTCCCTAGGTCTCTCTGTGTGAGTAAGCATACTAGAATTTCAGTTTCAAAACAAGTTCATTAAAACTAAATACAACTTTTATACCCTTGAATCAACAGTAGTTGAAGTCTTCGATTCCTAGGGGGCATCTATGACATTTTTCTCTTGTCCCATTGCAAGGTGACTGCCTAGATTTAATGGCATCACTCACTTCAACAACATGTTTTTCTTGTCCCCACCTTCACATAGGCTTCTTCTGGCCAAATTATGAGTTTTTTCAAGTAATTTTGCTTCCAAATTCTAAATCTGGCTAAAAGCAACCATTCATATTCATGTCTTGCCTTGAAATTTCTTCTATCTGATTAATTCTTCAACTTAAAAAAATTAAATTTCCATTTTATTTTGCTTTGTTCATAAAAAGACGTTCCTATTTGGTTTTATTTCTCAGGCATCTAAAATCAACTCCACACAGTCTTGGGTCATAGACAACATGTAAACAGGTTCTTTGCCAGAATGTAATGTGAATGGCATCTAGTCTAATTTTAAAAGAGTTCCATTTCTACCTGTAACCCTGTGGGCACAGTCTGCTCTGTTCTTATTACTGCGGCTTCCATTCTGCTGAGCTCAAACCAGAACCACCCCTCTGTTAACCTCCGCTTAACATTTTAGAACATCTCTGTTCTGCACCCCCCCCACCCTCTCAGAAGACCTCTCATTGCATCATCAGATGTACTCACAGTAAGCATCCCATTTCACACACCAGTTTTCCACATTTATCATCTTCTTATTTATGTCACAGGGCATTTGAGATTACACAACACAAACAAGGAAAGATTTATTTGCCTTTTGGTCCCAGAGATTTAAGCGCATAACTGGCTGTTAATAATCTGTTTTGCTCCAGGGATTGTGGCACAGTAGAGAGGGAGGGCAGAAAGGAGGAGGAGAGAAAGAAAGAGAGGAAGTAGGAGACAGGAGAAGAGAAATAATAAGAAAGAGATGATATCGGAGAAAAGAGGAAAGAGAGAGAGGAGGGGAGAGATTATGAATTAGAAGGGTCTTGGAACAAGTTACATTTTCCAAAAACATGTCACCAGTGACTCCCTTAAAATATGCGCTTCCTCTTAGCAGCCCACACATGGGAGCTGCTGGAAGCTGAACCCAGGTCCTCTGGAGAAGTAGTCAGTGCTCTTAATTGCTGAGCCATCTCCCTAGCCTAGCAGCCCACACTTGTATATGTTGCATGTACACCAGCCCTCCTCTCAGACTCAAAGGCATATGCATAGACATAAATGAATAACTATTCTGAATAAATTTTAAAAGAAATATATTTTAAAAGTAGTATAAAAACTAAAGTTTGCATATATGAATTTGTTAGAATGCGGATGGGACAGAAATCTTGAACTGGATAAATGGTCTATAATGTAGAAATTCTGGGTTTAGATATATACTTCTGGTTTATATTTTGGGTTAATACCATGCAGTTTCTAAAGGGTTCTGCAAATCACATGCCCACTAGGGCATTATAAGTGCCAGGTTCTGAACGTTCTCAAAGTCACCTGCCATCTTCAGTGTCTAATTTCAGACATTTTTATGAGTGTGCAATGACACTTCCTTGTGGTTTTAATTCATATTTTCTCGTTCTAGCATAGTTGCCAAAAATATGCTTGTGCAGTTTTTTTTACATTAAAAAGCTTTTTCTTTATTTTTATTTCATTTTGCCCCAAATTCCTTTCTAGACATATGCTACACTGTGTTTGTTCAGTTTCTCAGGAGTACTGCTATGAAATTAGAAAATCAAATAGTGTTTTTCAAAATTAATTATCACAGCAGAATGGTTTTAGATGCCAACGTTATATATATATATATATATATATATATATATATATATATATATATATATATATTAAAAACTAGGAAGATTTTTAATTTCTTTTTTCAACAGGAAATGATCAATGTCTGAGAATATAGATATTACCTTTGTCTGAACACTATATAATCTAGAAGCACTGACACATTGTATGATATAACTTAAAAATATTTTCTCATTTTCAAAGAATTGACCAGCTTCAGTTCTTATATATATATATAGCTTGTCAATTTATTGTTCCTGGCTGGAACCCTTTTATTTTGCCCTAGAAGTTGGTTAGTAAAAGCATTCTTATTTTCATTAAAGTCATGTGATTATGAAATTAGACAGATACTGTTTGTTGTAGTGCAGTTTTTTTTTAACTGCTACTCTGCAGTGATGACCTTGCATCTGGTTAATGCACTTGCCTGATTCTTTTTATCTCTCCATTGGTCTACACACTTATTCTTGAGACTAGACCAACCATATTTTTTACATGCATGTATACCATCAGTTAATAATACCATTTATCTTTTGTCTCCAATTTTTTTTATCAATTTATTTCAGTGGCTGAGATTTTCAGCACAAAGTTAAATAGAAGTAAGTAGTTAGTGGTAAACTTCATTTTGTTCCTAAGCTTGGAGGAAAGAATCC